TAGAGACCTCGTCTCTACAATAAATCAAAAAATTAGCTGGGCATGGTGGCTCACACCTGCAGGAAGGCTGAGGCAGAAGAATTGCCTGAGTCCAGCAGGTAGAGGCTGCAGTGGCCGTGAGCATGCCACTGGACTCCAGCCTTGGCGACAGAGTGACACTCCAACTCAAAAAAATAAAAAAGTAAATGAAAAAAGTTACTAGGTGAGATGCCAAACTGATTAACATTCTATAGGGCAAACTACCCATAATGCCTTTAGGGTTAATGTCTCTTCAAGGCCATACAAGAACAGCACCTTATCAATTTCTGAAGGTTAACGTTACAGAACTGTAAACTCTGTACTTTTATCAGTAGTGGGTTGTTAGTCAAATATATTGTGACAACAGTTATATTCTCAAGAGTATCAGATGAAGGTCAAGTGGGTCTATTAGAAAAACTCTAGCATAATATGAAAAAACAGATCATTTTTTTTTTTTTAAGTTTGGGATACACTTTTCTTTTTTCTTTTTTTTGAATTAGAGTCTCACTCTATCACTCAGGCTGGAGTGTAGTGGCACGATCATAGCTTACTACAATCTTGAGCTCCTGGGCTCAAGTGATACTTCCACCTCAGTCTCTTCAGTAGCTGAGACTACTGGCTTGTGCCACCATACCCAGTTAATTTTTTTGATTTTTTTTTTTTTTTGTAGAGATGAGGTCTTGCCATGTTGCCTAGGCTGGTTTCAAACTCCTGGACTCAGTCTTCCCAAGCTTCTCTAAGTGCTAGGACTACAAGGCATGAGCCACATACAGACTGTGGGAATAAGGGCAGTTTAATTGATTCAGAGCAGCTGGATTTTTCCCAAACTGCAGGTTGAAACTCATTAATGGGATGGTGTGTTGGGAAATAAATAGTGCATTGCAACCAGCATTTTTAGAAAAATAAAATAGAGAATATAAAAGTGTATCAAACATAACAAGATCAAATATCAGTTTTGTGTTTTTGTGTGGGGGGGAGGGTATAAAATGCAGTTTGTTTGTTTCTTTCTTTCAAGGGAGAAGAAATTTATTTATTTATTTATTTATTTATTGCTTTGAGTTGGGGTCGTCACCCAGGCTGGAGGGCAGGCCATCACAGCCTTGACCTTATGGGCTCAGGCAGTCCTCCCGTCTCAGCCACCCAAGTAGCTGGGACTACAAGCACGCACCACCACATCCGGCTAATTTTTTGAATTTTTGTAGAGATGAGGTCTCACTATGTTGCCCAGGCTGGCCTTGAACTCCTGGGCTTAAGCAATCCTTTCACCTCATCCTCCCAAAGTGCTGGAATTATAAGCATAAGCCACCGCATCTGGCCTAAAATGCAGTTTTGAATATGGGTAATAGTATAAAGCTTGAAAAATGCCCACTTAATTTAAGACTCACCCCAAGGACTGCAAAGAGAACTGTGCAAAACACAACTGCTTAGAGAATGATGATTTAAGTTAGGGTTTTGTCCTTAAGGAAGAAGCTGGGGAATGGCTGCTGGGTAGACAACCAACAGAGTGGGCTATAACAGGAGATTGCAAAGTAGTACTGGATCTTAATATTCTCACATGCAAAACCCACAAATTAAGATAAATGCTTACACAATCTTGGCTGCTCAGTGACTTTATTTTTTTTTAATTTTAGTTGGAGTCTCACTCTGTTGCCCAGATTGGAGTGCAGTGGCCGCTACCGGCCACCGCAGCCTCAACCTGCTGGGCTCCAGTGATCCTTCCGCCTCAGCCTTCCAAGTAGCTGGAACTACAGGCGCGCGCTACTACACCTGGCTAATTTTTTGATTTATTGTAGAGATGAGGTCTCGCCAAGTTGCCCAGGCTGGTCTCGAACCCACGGGCTTAGGCAATCCACTCATCTCAGTCTCCCAAAGTGCGGGATTAAAGGCTGAGCCACCGAGCCCGGCTTTGCTGAATGACTTGAAATGATCCAACACTGTTTAATTATTTCTTTTTTCTTTTTTTTTTAGTTGGATTGAGTGTGACTCCGTCGCCCAGGCTGCAGTGCAGTGGCACACTCAAGGCCACCCCAGCGGCAAACTGCTGGGCTCTGGTGAAGCTTCTGCCTCAGCCTTCCAAGTAGCTGGAACTACAAGCGCAGGCTACCACATCCAGCTAATTTTTGATTTATTGTAGAGATGAGGTCTCGCCAAGTTGCCTGAACTGGTCTCAAACCCATGGGCTAAGGCAATTCACTCACCTTGGCCTCCCAAAGTGCTGGGATTACAGGCTGAGCCATTCTGCCCGGCCGAACGTGAATTTTCTTTTCTTTTCTTTTCTTTTCTTTTCTTTCTTTCTTTCTTTCTTTCTTTCTTTCTTTCTTTCTTTCTTTCTTTCTTTCTTTCTTTCTTTCTCTTTTTCTTTCTCTCTCTTTCTTTCTCTCTCTCTCTCTCTCTTTTTTGTTTGATTCACTCTGTGCCCAGGCTGGAGTGCAGTGGCACGCTCATGGCCACCACGGCCTCGACCTGCTGGGCTCAGGCAATCCTTCCACCTCAGCCTTCTAAGTAGTTGAAACTACAGGTGTACACAGCCATGCCTGGCTAAGTTTTTTTTTTTTTTTTAGTTGGAGTCTCACTGCCAGCCAGGTCGAGGTGCAGTAACATGCTCATGGCCACTGTAGCCTCAACCTGCTGGGCACAGGTGACCCTTCTGCCTCAGCCTTCCAAGTAGCTGGAACCACAGGCATGCACCACCATGCCCGGTTAATTTTTTGATTTATTATAGAGATGAGGTTTTGCCAAGTTACCCAGGCTGGTCTCGAAACCCTGGGCTCAGGCAATTCTCCTGTCTCTGCCTCCCAAAGTGCTGGGATTACAGGCATGAGCCCCCGTACCCAGCCTATGAACATGAATTTTCTCAGCCTCAATTCCAAATTCCCAGGAAAGTATCTGATGAATCAAATGTAGCAGATGCTCCAGATGCCCTCTAGTCCCATCTGCTGGGCCCATCTCTGACTTCAGCTGCCGCTGTAGTGGTCAGTTCCTGTGAGCCCTAATGGCTTCTCACTCCAAAGCCCAGCCTCAGTATTTGTCTCAAAATTTTTCCTAAGGCCTTCATAGCTCATAACTTGCACATAAATGTGACAGGCACATGAGAGGACACAGTGCAGACTTGGCAGATGGCCTCAGTCAAGGCAATCGAGTATAGTAAGAGCTGAGATTAGACTTTCTGCCTGAGGAAAAAGAAAAGACAGTTTTAATTTCTACTGGCCTTAGTGTGCTGTGAGGATATAAAAGCAGATACTGAGGGAAAACAGAGCCAAAGGAGATGAAGGGAAAGACTGAGAGACAGGGAGAGAATGATTCTCATTTCCCATTGTAGCCTGGCTTACCACCCCCCCCCGCCCTTTTTTAAAAGCAGGATTTATTAAGAGGACAGAAAAGTTCCCAGAGCAGGAGGGGACTTGAGGGGGTTGCCCTATCTCTCCATTTTGGAGGACATTGCTCACCTCTATGCTTATTTCATCTGTTTTCCTGTCCCCAAGCCCAGACTTATGGGAAGATAAGAGAGACCAACCCCATGCATGAGGGACAAGAGGAATGTGAGAAGCAAAGTTCTCAATTCAGGACTCATTAAGGTAAAAAGAGGACATCAATCTAGTGACTCACATGCTTCACTCAACATTGAATAAGCACTAAGAATATTGTAGGTGGCTGGGTGCGGTGGCTCACGCTCATAAACCCAGCACTTTGGGAGGCTGAGAAGAGAGGATTGTGTGAGCCCCCAGGTTCGAGACCAGCCTGGGTAACATGGCGAGACCTCGTCTCTACAATAAATCAAAAAATTAGCTGGGGTGGTGGCGCTTGCCTGTAGTTCCAGCTACTTGGAAGACTGAGGCGGAAGGATCACCTGAGCCCAGTAGGTAGAGGTTGCGGGGGCCGGGAGTGTGCCACTGCCCTCCAGCCTGGGTGACAGAGTGAGACTCCAACTCAAAAAAAAAAAAAAGAATATTGTAGGCTATTGGTGTTCAAAGTATGGAACAGGGATAATCTGTGTCAGAATTCAGAATTCCCTCAGGTGTGGCCAGGAATCCACATTTTAAACTAGCTCTGTAGGTGATTCGGATTCACACTAAGATCCGAGAACCACGCTGTTCTGGGCACTGTTAGGTGCTAGAACCTAACACAGAACAAAGTAGACGTGGTCCCTACTTCCTAGTATATTTATATGTGTAGGGGTGGGGGACAGCTTATTACAATGAGGTGACGTTGGTGCTAAAATAGAAGCAGGGGGATCAATAACAGGTGCGCTTAATTCAGACTGAGAAGAGTATTAAAGCTGAACCTTGGAGAAAGAATCTATAGCTCTGGAGAGAAGTCTGTACTGCAGAGATATAAAAGAGTTGTCAAACTGTGGAGAATAAGTGCAGCTATGGCCGTGAACGAATGGCCAGGGAAAGGGTGTAGAGCGAGAACTGGGCTAAAGGACAGAATTGTGAAAGACCCCAAACCACCCCCACTCTCCATCCCCAAGATATCATCCGCCCTCGCCTTCGCCGTTCCTTTCGCCGGCCCCTAAAGCGTCAGAGAGACCCTCGGCGGAGCTACGCCAGAGCCCAGGTTCGCGGGGCCGCGCACGCCCACCGACCGACTCGCCTCGGTACAACCCTCCGGCTCGCAGCCGGGCAGGGCAAGAGGGGCGGGGCTCGGCTCTGCCTGGACGCTTCCCCGGCTGTCCGGAGACTGCGCGAGGAGCGCCCGCCCTGCGTGATGACGTCACCGCGCCCGCGCGCCGCGGGAGGAGTGGGCGCCGTGGGCCGGCAGGCGCTGAGGCTCCGGTAACCCGGTCAGGGCGGGGGAGAGGAAGGGGTGGAGCAGGGAGCCCTCCAAGGTGCGGGTTCGCAGTCCCGACCCGGAGCGGGAGCCCCGAGGACCTCAGCACTGGCCGCTTCTCCCAGCAGGCTACGCCCGGCCTGGCGATGGAGTTTCCGGACCTCGGGGCTCACTGTTCCGAGCCGAGCTGTCAGCGCCTGGGGGAGGGGCGGAGCACGCGGGGGGCGGGGCCGAGGGGCATGGAACTGCAGGTGGGGCGAGAAGGGTGGGCTCCTGGGTTGGAAGAGCCAGGGAAGTACCTGGCTCGATATTGGGGGCGGTGGCTGAGGGGGCGTGGCTAGGAGATAGTGGACTAGGGAAGAGGCGCGGTGTATTGTAAATAGGGAGGTGTTTTCTGTCCCGGGTGGAAGGCTTGCGTGAAAGGGGAAGACGTCGAGGTCCCGCTGGACCTGCAATCCGACCAACTCCTTGCAGATTTTTTGCCGCTCAAGTGCGATGCCTGCTCGGGCGTCTTTTGCGCAGACCATGTGTCCTACGCCCAGCATCACTGTGAATCTGCTTACCAAAAGGTGAGGGGCCGACGCTGAGGGTGAGAGCAGGCGGATACAAGACTTGTGCAGAATCCCCCATATCTGTCTTATGTTTCCTCTCCGTTTTGTCTTTCTGAAGCTCATTGTGTTTTCTTGAGTGTTTGTGAGGGTCATATTCAAGTTCTTTCATAATCCCCAGAGATTTGTTGGACTGGGAGCGGGCCACACTGACCCTTGCCTCTTGACTGTAGGATATCCAGGTACCTGTGTGCCCCCTCTGTAATGTGCCTGTGCCTGTGGCTAGAGGGGAGCCCCCTGACCGCGCTGTAGGAGAGCACATTGACAGAGACTGTCGCTCAGATCCAGCACAACAAAAACGTAAGGTAAGCAGTGGAGGGTCAGCCATAACCCGGCTGGGACTACGGATGCCTGAAAACCTAAGCAACTAATTCTTGTGGTGGGGTTGGAGATGGTAATGAGTCTCAGCAGAGACAAACCTTCCCACTTCACCTCAGATCTTCACCAATAAGTGTGAGCGCTCTGGCTGCCGGCAGCGGGAAATGATGAAACTAACCTGCCAGCGCTGTGGCCGAAACTTTTGCATCAAGCACCGTCACCCGCTGGACCATGATTGCTCTGGGGAGGGGGACCCAACCAGCCGGGCAGGGTAATTGCAACTGAGTCTTCTACTTGCCTTTGGGACCATCTTATCCTTTTGGAACTGATTTAATCTCTGTCATTACAAACTGGGATACTTCAACCCCATCCTTGCTAGCTAGGGAGTCTTTAAGCTTTTTCAAGTGCGTGTTTTTCCAGTTTGGAGGAATTCCCCTCCTAACTTGCGGTAAGGCTTATTCTTGGAGGCATGCCAAGACTGTCTCTTCCCTACAGAGTTGCTGCCATCTCCAGAGCACAAGGCCTGGCTTCTACAAGCACCATCCCTAGCCCAAGTCGGACCTTGCCTTCCTGTACCTCTCCCAGCAGGTAGGCCTGCCCGTGTCTCTTCTCCGTTTTCCCTTCACATTTCTGACTTCAACCTCTTAAATGTCTGCCATAGAGCCACAACCCAGTCTCCATCCCGGACAGCCCCTTCAGTGATTGCCTTGCAGAATGGCCTGGTGAGTTGGGCAGAGGTTGAATGGACAAAAACAAAAACAAAGAGGGCAAAGTCCAAGGAAACTGGTCTTCTCCCTTTGCAGAGTGAGGATGAAGCTCTGCAACGAGCCCTGGAAATGTCCCTGGCAGAGACCAAACCACAGGTTCCAAGGTACCTATTCTCTGGTGAAAGACTGGGCAAGGGCTCAGTTTGGAGGAAGGTAGGAGGGGCCGCTCTGACCCAATGCAAGGTAACTGCTGGCAATTGGGTCAAAATGAAGATGAACTATATAATCTTTGACAAGTTTTTTGACTCATCTCCTCTATAAAATGGGGTAATATTAATGCCCACCTTATAGAGTTACCATGAAGATTAAGATTGTACCCAGAAGTGCTCAGCACTGTGATGCTTAGCACAGATCAGATATTCACATTTTAGCCATTACTGTCATCCAACTGAAGCTGTCCTTCCCAGTTCTCAGGAGGAGGAAGACCTGGCTTTAGCACAAGCGCTATCAGCCAGTGAGGCAGAATACCAACAGCAGCAGGTATGAGAATGGGGTAAAGATGGGGTCCTGTGCTGGAAGAGAGCAAGAAGTTGGGGGCAGGTGTTCTTCTAAGTGGTGGAGAGATTTAGAATGGTGGTTACCAGCCAGGTGCAGTGGCTCACACCTGTGGTCCCAGCACTTTGGGAGGTAGAGGAGAGAGGACTGCCTGAGTCCAGGGGTTCGAGACCAGCCCGGGCAACTTGGCGAGACCTCGTCTCTACAATAAATCAAAAATTTAGCTGGGTGTGGTGGTGCATGCCTGTGGTTCCAGCTACTTGGAAGGCTGAGGCAGAAGGATCACCTGAGCCCTGCAGGTCAAGTTGCTGTGGCCATCAGCATGCCACTGCACTCCAGTCTGGGTGACAGTGAGACTCTGACTCAAAAAAAAAAAAATGACTCCAGCCCATGCTGAACTTTGAAATATGGGCTATCCCCTCGTTTCCTTGACTTCACACCGTCTTCCCTCTTTCCCTTCTCCTTGCTCTAGGCCCAGAGCCGTAGCCTGAAGCCATCCAACTGCAGCCTGTGCTAGGGCCCTGGTTTGGGGAGGGAGGCTCAGCTGAGGACTGTGGCCCTCACACCTCCAGGGCACACAAGGAGAGGAGGCCCAGAGCAGCCTGGAGCACAGAGATAAGCAGGAATGATGTGGAGGTCGCTTCCAGAGAGCCTATGGAAGGCCTTGCTAGCACTCCAGCTGCATGGGAGAGAGTGGCTAACAACTGTTCCCTGGTTGGGCCCTTGATGGATGCTGGCCAGGCCCTACTCTCAGCCCCCTTCATCATGTCATCCCCCTTACAACAGGGCTACCCCCACGTACAGTGGGTAGGGAGGGGCCTGGAAAAAAATAAAGGATCTTGTCAGTCCATAAGACATCTAAGTGGTATGTTCCTTTCTCCTCTCCAGTCTTAAGCAGAAAATCTTATCATGAGTGCTCATATGACTTAAGGATAGAAGCCCACTGCAGTACCCCATGCCACAAAACCAGAGTGATCCCTGTGTAGTCCATACTTTTATTTCCCCAAAAAGTGCTTTTCTGAAGCCCTTTCCCTCACTATAGCTAGCACCAAACTCCAAGATGAATAAAAGAACACATCTCTTATTCCCCTGAGTTAGCCTTTGAGAAGGAAGTGGCCACAACTTCTGTCACCGTGTCACAGCCTGGGGCTTAGTGTCTTCAGAGACTTCTTCCTGTCCCCGCTGCTGCAGCTGCCACATGTCAGCATACACTCCCCCTCGGGACAACAGAGCCTCATGCCTAGGGCGAGGAATGAAAATGTGAGCCCCAACCATCTGTTTTACCACAAGGGTCGTTGCCACCAGCCCACAGAGAGAACAGCGAATGGGCAAGGAAGGTCCCCTCCTTTCTGGACCCCCTGATTCAGAGGCCCTGCTCTATTCATTCTGCATGTTTCTTACCGTCCTCTCTCCACAATGCAGCCATCCTTGATGACAAGGATCTGGTCAGCATTTACCACAGTTGAGAGCCTGAGAAGCCAGAGGTCAGTTACCTACCTCTCCACCCAAAGTGGGCCCATACTGCCAGCCGCCCCGGTCCTATAGTCCTGTACCTGTGTGCCACTACGATGGTGGTACGGTTGGCACAAACTTTGGCCAAAGAAGCCTGGATGGCTCTTTCATTAGATGTATCCAGCGCTGATGTTGCCTACAGAGAGGGTCCAGGTAAAACTGCCCCTGCTGTCCAAAACCCCCAATGGAAGAAGGATGCAGGCTGCCAGCTCAGGAATACAAAAGAACACTGGGCTTGAGAACTATAAAGTGTTTTTGTGAAACATGGATTCGTGGTATCTTTTCTATGAGGTAAACAGTGCCCAGCAGAATGGCTTGGGCACACATAGGGTAGGAGCCGTCCGGAGACTCACCTCATCCAGCAGAATGATATCTGGACCCTTGAGGATGGTGCGGGCGATGGCAACACGCTGCTTCTCCCCGCCACTCAGCTTCAGTCCCCGCTCGCCCACCTGTGTCTCATACCCTGTGGATATTGCCCACCACCCTCAAGTCACACATAAGAAAAATAGCTTCTATGACCAGATAGGCAAGGAAGGGAAGGAACAGGGGTCAGAGGGGCTAACAGGCATACACTGGGCAGGGGAGGAGACTCTATGCAGAGGAACCTCACCTTCAGGGAAAGCCATAATGGCATCATGGATGCCTGCAGCCTGAGCAGCAGCCTCTAACTCACTGTTCCCAGCTGTGACACGGCCATAGCGGATATTGTTGGCAATGGTGTCATTAAAAAGGACAGTATCTTGGGGCACGACTCCGATGTGAGACCGGAGGGAGATCTGGGTCACCTGGAGCCAAAAGACCACATGTCCAGCCCTGTGAGATCCCCTCTGAGACTGGGAGGGAGGCTGGGCTGGTGAAAGCATATGGGATAAGAGGCCCTGGATAAGAATCCCACCATCACCACTCCAAATCTAGCAATGTGGGCAAATCAGTCAACTTCTCTGAGTGTGTTTCCCCATCTATAAAAAAATAAAAAAATAGGCTGATCTCAGTGGCTCAGCCTGTAATCCCAGTGCTTTGGGAGGCCAAGGCAAGTGGATTGCCTAAGCCCGTGGGTTCAAGATCAGTCCGGGCAACTTGGCAAGACATTGTCACTACAATAAATAAAAAATTAGCTAGGCCTGGTAGTGTGCGCCTGTAGTTCCAGCTACTTGGAAGGCTGAGGCAGAAGCATCGCTCAAGCCCAGCAGGTCAACACTGGGGTGGTCATAGGCGTGTGTGCCACTGCATTCTAGCCTGGGTGACAGAGTGAGACTCCAACTCAAAAATAAAAATAAAAAATAAAAAAAGCTTTCTCTACCTGCTTCACCAGATTGCTACAGAAGATCTTTGTACTTTGTATGGCGTCATACAAATCACTCACAGGACTACTTTACTTATGTGACAGTAGGTTATATGGTGCTAGGAAGATCCAAGCTTTTTGCAGGGGTGACATCTCTTTATACTGTCTCCGGACGCCCATCCCTTACCATTTGTCCATACAGTGATCCCTAAATTACAGTCTTCTCCCAAGCAACATTACCTGTGAAATGTCCTGCCCATCTATTCGGATGCAACCAGAGTTGATGTCATAGAAGCGAAATAGCAGGCGTAAAATTGTGCTCTTCCCTGCCCCAGATGGGCCCACCTGTTGCATTGGAAACAGAAGGAGAAAATTCTCAGGCACACTGACTTCTAAGGCACCCCCTCCCAGAGGCCACCAATATCCATGGAGACTGCAATATTCTATCCTGTCACCCATTATGACAGCACTTTGACTCCCCACCCTGGGTCACATGCACCACGAATGAGCACTGAGTGAGGGAGACAGCACTGAGCGAGGGAAGCTTGAGGAATCTGGACCAAGTGGTTGGGTCTTCTCTTACCAGAGCCAGTGTCTGTCCAGGCATCACGGTGAAGGACACGTCCTGCAGTGTCTCCCGCCTGCAAGGAAGGGTGGGAATGGTCAGCAGGCCCCTTCCATCATGAAAGCTGCTACCAGGCCCTCTCCCTCCCCTGTCCAGGTTCCCTTCCCAAGAAGTGGTGGGCTGAAAAGCAGGGATTCAGAGCAGATGAGGACCAGGAAGGCAGTGTGCAAATGGACAATGGGAATGGAAAGAAGGCAAAAGGAAGGGCTCACCCATCAGCATAGCTGAAGTGGACATTCTCAAACTCAATTCGGCCCTTCTGAAAGTGAAGGGGCCCTGCTCCAGGAAGGTCCTTCACCTGGAAGAGTGCCACCCATGTGTGCTTCTGCCATCAGCCTAGTGTTCTCCTCCCTCCCCAAGCCCTACTCCTCTCTCTTCCCTCACTTCTGTCTCCTCTTTCAGCAGGTCAAACATATTCTCCATGTCGATGAAGTTGGTCTGGATCATCCTGCAAGAAGGGTGCTGGCTGTAGCTTCTCTGAGCAGCCGGGAAATAGCAATGCATCCCGAACAGGTGAGGGCCAGGGCTCAGGTTACCTGTAGTAAGTGCCAAACCAGTTGAGGGGCATGTACAGCTGGATGATATAGGTGCCAAAGAGCACAAAGTCCCCGACCTGTGGAGATCCAGAGAAGCAGACCACATCACAAGAGGCTTGCAGGCTGCTCTTCCTGTCACCCTGCCCATTTCCCATCTGAGCTTGAGGCCCAGACATAGGCCCCAGGCCCCTCTTCCCTGTCCTCCATGCTCTTGTCCATGATCGTGCCTCACCTGTAGCTTCTGTTCACTGACAAAATATGCGCAAAGCAGGGAGCCAGCAAGGAGCCCGAGTCCAATCACCAGATTCTGAGTCTGATTTAGTAAAACCAGGGAAGCGCTGGACTTCCACTCCAAACCCTGAGGGCAATGACACAGGAGGGAGAATGTCCCATATTCACTGACCATCACCAAATCCAACCTGGGCCCAGGTACCTTCAACCCTACTGCCTGGGTTTTACTCTTGGCGCTGGCAATTCCACCAGGCCAGCTCACTGAGGTCTCAAACCAGCATCCTCACCTGATATTTGATGATGGCCTCTCGATAGCGTTCCACTTCATAATGCTCAGCATTGTAATACTTCACCTGATGAATTCAAACTGCCATTGTTCAACATGAATGTAGCACACAGCACTCAGATCATTCCTTTCAGATTCCCAATCATTCCTTCCAGATTCCCAATCCCTCCTTCCAGATTTCAGATATCACACAGGAACATCACACCCCCAACTCCTCGTCAGCCCCTGTGGTCCCAGCCACTGTCCTCCACAGCCACTGTCCTCCACATCTCTGAGCCTCACACCATAGCCACCGAGGCCTCTGTTACCGTCTCAAAGTTTAGCAGAGAGTCCACTGCTCGTGCTCGGGTAGCATTCTCCTGTGTGTTCATAGCACGGCGAAACTTGGTTCTCCACTCAGTGACCACAATGGTCAGGACTGGAGAGTGATAGGAGGAGAAGGAGGGAGAACAGGACATCACCCCCAATAGTAGAGACCAAATGTGAATGCCTGCTACCTGCCACACATAATAAACTTGCACTAGAGCCAGGGACCCAGATTCTAGAGGGAAAGAGTCTTGAGCTCACAGAAGGAAAGAGCTGTGTCCAAGGCATCTCTGTCACCTGCACAAGGCTTCATGTGCAGAAAATGCTTTTGGTAAAAAAAAATGAAGGCAAGCTGTATCTTGTTACACAAATGAGGTTTCTCTTTGACCTGCATGCACAGTGGGGGCCTTAATATGACAAGAATGCCCTTCCCAAGCCCTCTACCTAGGCTGAGGCTGAGCTAAGGTTCAACTTGATAGAAGAGACACACCCATCACATCAGGAGCAGCAGGAGCCCATTCAAGCCCACCAATCTACAGCCTCCTGAAAGTGGGTCACGTGAGAGGGGGCAGAGCTAGTGCCCAAAGGAGTCCCTGGATAGTTCAGGGAGATGATACCACCCAGCAGCACTCACTGAGGTAAAGACTCATGCACAGGAACACAATGAGGCCAAACCAGGCGTTGAAGAACATGCTGAAGTAGATGATGCCAATGATGATGTCAGCCAGTGTAGGGATGATGTTGAACACCAGATAGCTAGGAAAGCAAATTGAGTGACAAAAAAGGTTTGGAGGCACAGACCCAGCGATCCTACCTCTAGGTGATTCAGCATAGTATTTTGTTTTTAAGAGCAACAAACTGGAACCAGTCTAAATGTATTCCAATCTCAAAGGAGGGTGGCTAAATCAACCAGAACATGCCCTAACTACAAAATTCTCTGTATCAATTACAACATATGAGGGAGATCTTCATGCATGGGAGAAAATATACCTTCATAATATTATGTTAATAAAACAACTCTGAGAATGACATCTATGTCATATAACATTTGTTTTAGGAAACACCTCCACACTACCCATTGGCTCTGTGAGTCTGCACATAGAGTATGTATGTAAAAATGCAAAAAAGCAGAACTCAACAAAGTAAACAGAGTGGGAGCTCTGGAGAAGTGAGTGCAGTCAAAGAGATTTGCTCTCTGAGTTATCATAAGAACACACATATGATAATCCTACAACTTAAAAAAAACACCAAGGTGGGAGGGGCAGCTCCTCAGGTTGGGTCTGTTCTCCTGACAGCCTTCTATCTCTACTTCTCCAGCCCCACCCCTCCACATGCCCTTTGCACCAGGTGGCACCTGAGCAGCCCTGTGACACTGGCCGTGCCCCGGTCCACGATCCGCAGCACCTCCCCTGTGCGGCGCCCCAGGTGCCAGCGCAGTGAGAGCTCATGCAGGTGGGAGAAGAGGCGCAGCTCCACCTGTCGAGACGTGAACTGCTGTACCCGGATCCACAGGAATGTGCGCAGGTTGCTCACGAAGCCTGGGGGGAGCCAGGGGAAGCCTCAGTAGGGCTTGGGGGCTGAGGGACATAAGCCCAGCACCAGGATGTCTGAGAACACAAACAGGGCTGAGGGAGGATGTTCTGACAGATAGAATGGTGAGGGAGTGCCTATGGGAGGGACCTATACCAAGCAGGGTGAGCACAGTGTCCCTCATACCTGTACTGCCAGTGCCACCGCCCTGGAGGAACTTGAGGAAGACATAGGTGGTAACAGTCCAGGCCAGGGAACTCCAAGGAGCCTTCTCAGTCAGCAAGTTCACTATGGAGAAAACGAGTCCATTTTGGCACTTATGGCACCCAGGTCTCTCTTCAGGTGAAATTGCTCTAGGCACCAGCCATAGACTCTTTCAGATCACCCAGCTCCCAACTGTGCCACCTCCCTAGGTAAGGACTGCCCCAGGCACCAGCATGCTGACTGGCACTCCTCCTACTCACCAATGTCTCTATAGAAGATGGGTACCAACACATTGAGTGCCCGGTCCAAACCCATGAGCCCCAGGCAGGTGAGCACCACCAGCTGCAGAACTGGACTTCCCCGAGGCCACAGGTAGCCACTCAGTAGGCGGAGCTTTCTGCCAAGGTCTCGCCAGGTAGATTGTGGGTCTGCTGACTGAAGTTAGGATGGTGAAACACACAGGGGAAGGGGAGCTCAGAAAGCAAAGCTAGTGCAGTAGAAACGTATGGGGCTTCCAGGGAAAACATATGGGGCTACAACTCCCAGGGAGCTCATATACCAGATGTGATCAGAAAAACTAATAGGTCAACAACTGAGATGTGAAAAGGAATCTATTCATTATGGGGAGAAGGAATGATGACAGGAAACAAAACGCAGACTCCAGGATTCAGAAACTGAAGTGTGTGTACCTGGCTCCTTTCTACATCTTGTTCCTCTTCACAGACCTGCAAGGCATAGGACTGGGGCTGAAGCCCAGGGGCCCAGAGACCCAGAACAAATAGCCCTGCAGAGGCCACGTACCGCAGCACCCACAAGCTAAACTGAACCTAGGATGAAACATATGTGGGAGAGAATTACCGAGAGCTAAAATTCCATTGTGTTACTACTGAAAACAGGGCTGGGGACTGGTGTAGGGAACACACCCAGGTTCTCCTTATGCCCAGCACTTACAGGCTTTAAAAAAAAAAACACACACACAATGACTCAGCACAGACACACCCCACCAGCTGGCTAACAGCTCCAGCCTGCATCAGCCCCTCCCTTCTCTTTTCGCTTAGAGGTATCCCAAAACATGGAACCGGTATGAACAGGCATGCAGTCTTCTTCCCAATCCCTGCCATCAACGGCTTCCCCTCACCCTACAAGGTTCCTCACCTGCTGGCCCAAGTCCGCCCTTGCCCACCACCACTGTGGGCTATTCCAAGACACTAGGGCCAAGTTCTCAACTGCAAACGCCATAGTCCAGAGGAGTAGGAGACCCGGGCTGTGCCTGAACTTGATCCAGATGCCCATCGCTAGACGCTGCCGTGCCTGGTTCCGTTCCACCACGAGTAGCCACAGGCCACAGGCGCTGGCCAGACTCTCCAGTACGGATGCCAGCAGTAGGTAGCTTGGCAGCGGGGCGCCCTGGGCAGTGCCCACCCGGCCAGCTAAGGCGGCCAGGGGCAGCGCCACCTGAAGTGTGGCCAGAAGCAGCTGCAGCACGTAGGGAGCGACGCGAGGGTTAGACCCCCAAGACAGCGAGTCAGTGCCAGCGGGCCGCTCCCGACGCCTGCAGGGAAGAGCCGGCACCAGGGCCAGAGCCCCCACGACCATCAGCGTCGAGGGCACGAGTGTGAAGAAGAAGCAAGGACTCAGGCCATCCTGCACCCAGGCCGGACTCACAGGCCCTTCGGCCTCGCAGTAGTTGCCCACAGTCACCATGGCAATGCGTGGACGCAGACCGCGGCTGCGGGCACCGCGGAACCGAAGAACAGGATCAGCTACTCTGGGAAGGTCCCGGATACCGGGATGTCTCGGGTCATGGCGCCGCCGGGGTCGCTGGCGGGGACGCACGTGGACCCTGCCTCACCGCCCACTCGCCTTGCGCACGCGTCGCCGCCGCGCACTCACGCCGGGCACGTACGCCGTCTCGGGCCGTCCCCGCCGGCTCGCGGCCCGGGACCCTACTGCCCGCCGCAGGCACTCAGGAACGTTGTGTTGGGTTTACGCCGCTCTTTACGGCAGCAGCCCCGCCCACCAGGCCGTCCCCAGAGTCCCATTGGTCAAATGTCTCAAAGGGGCGGGGACAATGGTGCAATTGACAAAGACAAATTAGAGGGGCAGAGTCAGCTTGGTCACGTGCCTAGGGCGGGAAAGCTGGCCGCATGTCCAGCTGGAGACGACCTCCACGGAACCCTGGGGTCGGAAACAACCCTTCTACCAGACGACTAGCTTGTTATAGCCAAGCGACGGCATAGGTCTACTCTCTTCCAGACCCCTCCTCGGTCCCCAGGCACCTGGGGGTATCACTCGCACCCCATGCCTCTTGTTTCCAGGATCCTAGCCACACAAAACAAGCCGCGACCTGGTCAAAGTCCCTTCTTTATTAAGGGTCATCAAGCTGCACACGGTCCCCACTCCACTCGGCTGTGAGTTCCGGCAGCGCAGTTCACCACTCTCCCAAAACGGGCCAGAGCTGGGTGAGGAGTGGGCCAGAGGGTAGGAGCCGAGTCCCAGCATGCAATGCGGCAGCTCGAAGCCTAGGGCGAGGCCATCGTAGTTCCACTCCCCTCCAGGGGACAGCAAGATGCGGGCCAGGGCTCTCTTGCTGGGACACAAACAGCAGAGGCCACACTCCAGCCCTGTCTGTCCCACGTGCGGTGGTGGTGGTGGGGGGGGGGGGGATACAGTGAGCAGCAATAGGGGCCCAGGAAGGCCTCAGTCTCCCAAGGGCCCATCCTAAAAGTTGGGAGAGGGCAGCAAAGAACTTCTATCCTGCTGCTGCAATTTAGAAACCTTCCTTCTTAGTGTTAAAAGATACTGTGAGGGGAGCTGGGAGCTAGGGCCTCCACCCCAATGCAAAGCAAAAGCAGAACAGAAGGGGAGCAAGCAAACAGAACGGGAGCAAGCAGCACACACATGCCAGTGATGTGCAGGAAGCAGAAGAGAGGTGAGCTGGCTGCAGCACTGGGCGAGAACTGGGGTGAGGTAAGGGCCACAGCCTGAGCTGCTCATCTATTCAGGGTGCAGGTGTAGGCTGCAGGGATTGAGGGTTCAGACCCAACCTCCCCACTCCACAGTTGGCACAGGTTCTCCCTGCTTGGCAGCTTCTGTGGTGGGCAGCCCTCTGGAAACTTGCAGGGGTAGGTGCAAGGGTGGCAGTACTGGGGCTGGGCTGGGGACCAGTTTCTAGCACCACACTCTGAGCCAAGAGGGTCCTGGGGATGAGAGATGAGACTAGAGTCCTGTGTGCCCCTGGTTCCTAGGCCCAAAACTCCTAGGCCTGTGGCAAGCCCAGTGTTGGCACCTCCCTTGGCCAGGCACAGACACACAAACACCACACACGTGGAGCCAGGCAACACTCAGAGGAGCCCTTCCATGGCGGGCAGATGGGATGGCAGGGCAGCGGTGGCCTCCATCCTGGGGCATAGGGTCTCTTCTTAGCCTTGTCTATACCTGTGGAGAGAAAATAGCTAATAATGGAAATAGTCTTCAGCTATCTGCTTGCCCCATACAAGCCTGGAGATAAAGGAAAGTTTGATTCTTGGGAAGGTAAGCAAATGAAAAATCAAGCTCTAGCTGGCACAGTGGCTCACACCTGTAATCTCAGCACTCGGGGAAGATGAAGCAGGGGGATAGGGCAACATAGCAAGACCTTGTCTCTACAAAAAAAAATCAAAAAACTAGCCAGGCGTGGTGGTACATGCCTGTAGTCCCAGCTACTTGGAGAGCTGAGGCGAAAGGATCACCTGAGCCCAGAAAGCCGAGGCTGCAGTGAGCTGTGATTATGCCACTGCACTCCAGCCTGAGTGACAGAGTGAAATCCCAACTCAAAAAAAAAAAAAAAATCAAGCCCGGGACTTCAGAGCAGTTGAGGGAAGAATGGGAGGGATTTTGGAGGGAGAGTGCACTGCATGGGAGCTTCCTTCACATGAAAAGCTGTTACCTCAGCCTGGAAGTTACTACTTCTGGCAGGTGTTCTCAGACCCTGGAGCCCTTACCTTGTGCACCTGAGGGGGAAGCTCATCCTCTGAGCCCTCCTCTGGCACGGGCTCAGGGTGCCTTGATGCTGACTGCCCATCTTCAGCCCACCCTCCAAGAGGCAGCCGAGAGAAGTGGGAGGGAGGCCGGGGTACCGTGCCAGGATCTAGAAAGACAAGTAAAAGTAAGTATACTCTTTGAACACAAAGAGTATTCAAAGAGTACTCTCTAGGGGATAAAGAGGTCAGAGGGCCTGGTCCCTCTAACCTCTTTTTCCCCTAGAGAAGTCCTAAAAGCTCCACCCTTCCCTGTAGGCCGTTTCCTCCTAAACTCCCACTAGATACCTGTGATGCCCCCGTAGCGCCTCTGGAAGCCCCCATGCAGGGCGGTGGTCTCAGGCGCTCCAGGCCTGGGTGCTGCACAGGGATAGCTGGCAGAGCGAGGTATAGGTTGGGAGCCCCGGGTGCCCTCTCCTCCCTCTTCAGGGGCGCTTTCCCCACTTTCATCGCTCTCCCGGCGGTGCCACACATGCCTCTCCGGTTCAGCCTGGGCCTGCTGCTTGTGGAGCTGGAGAGGTGGGGGGCTCGTTAGTGGGGGACAGAAGGATGTCCATCTGGAACAGCCTCCAACGTGGATCAGCCAGTTCCCACTTTATCTCCTCACCCAGAATCCTGGACCCAGAGCACCTATCGTGTTAACAGTATGGAACATGCACCCGATGCCTCACAGGTTACATTCCCAGCAGATCCCTGGAAGAAACCTGTGCACAGGTTGTAATGGCCCTCATCTGAGTCAGGAACAAACTGGATTTAATGCCAGGCATTCCTTTAGGGGCTGGGAATACAGTAGTGAATAAAGTAGACAAAAATGCCAGCCCTTTCAAGGCTTATATACTGGTGGGGAAATAGACGATAAATAAATAGAGAAAAAATAAAGTATGCCAGATGGTGCTAAATGCTAGGGAGAAAAATAAAACAGGAATATTCAGGAGGGTGGGCAAGGGATGCTTTAAGTGAGAGGGATCACAGAAAGTCTCAGGGAAAAGGTAGCTATAGAGACCTGAAAAAGCAGGAGGGGGCCATCTGGACAGCTCAGGGAACTAGATTCTAGGTAGGGAAACTACAAGTATGTGAAGGCCTTGGATGAGAGCGTGCTTGGCTAAAAATGATATTAAGGCATATAGGGGAAAGGAGATTGCAGAGCAGGCAAATGGCAGACAAGGGACTGGAACCTAGGTTTTGCTCCTCCACATCTAAAACCCTCTTTTCAGTTGCCCACTCACCTGGTGCATATAGAGGGCATGCAGGCTCATCTCGGTGGATGCGTATTCTGACAGCACCAGGCTCTGCAGCTGGCCTTCCCACACACTGCTCCCGGAGCTGGCTGTCCTGGCATCCACCCTGTCCATCCCAGCACACATAGACAGCAGCTGTCATTTCTGAGATGCACACAAGTCATTGGGGGCTACTATGCCTTCCCATCTCGGCCCACCTTACTCACCCAGAACCTGTCATGGTGCTGGGAGCTCGGCCTGTGGGGGCCTGCCCAGGTTGCAGAGGAGAGAAGGAACGCAGGGCAGAGGCGACTTCAGCCCTGTGCCTGGAGCCCTGCAGGTCTCTGGGTAGTGGGGGGCCCCGGCAAGATGAGCCAGCTACCACATTTGCAATAAGGCTCAGTGGCTATGAAAGAAAGGGGTGGGTAGAATTCTTGGGGCAGGAGACAGGCCTCCAGGTCCCCTAGTATTCTGTGCCTCAGGACCCAAAAGCACATACTGAACCTACAGAACGAAACCTTCCACCCTATGCCTGGTCCTCAACTCCCAGCTCCTGGAGAACTCTGCCCATCAACTCCAGACCCCAGGAACATACCTCAGACTCAGATTGTAAGGACTGGATAGATGTAAAGAGGGCATTTTCAGGGAGCAGGCCCCCTTGGGCCAGGCCAGCAGCTGCTCCATCCCGCTGAACCTGCTCCTTGAGGAAGCCTAGGAAGGCTGTGCTTTCACGTGGTGGCTGCCAGCCAGGGTTGGTGATGGCAAAGTGCATGAGTGACAACTCTGTTTTCCCATCCTCAGCTTGCTGGTACACTGAGGCCTCTGTCTGCCCAGCAGATAGCCACTGCACAAGGGAGACCGGAGTAAGCAGGGCCATCCTTTTATAGGAGCCCTTCCTGTACCTTTCCTGTTGAGGGAAGGCCTTGCCCTTGGAAGACAGAGACTGCAATGCGTTGTCATATTTTGTTCAGGGACCCCAGTGCCCACCCCAGGAGTGGCCACATGCTGGGCCAGTTGCTTGTGTTGTACCTTTCTCGGGGAGCTTGGCCAAGGGTGCAAACTGAGTTGCAATCAAGCCCAGGCTTCCAAGCATTAAGTCCCTGGTACAGGGCAGCCTTTCAGTAACTTGTTGGCTCAGAAGAGTGCCTTTTTGTAGTTTGCCCAAAGATACTGTATGTGCCAGTATCGTCCCTGGCCACCTGCCCCCCTTGTCTCCCAGTACCTGAGGGTGACCATGCTGACGAACATCCATCTGAGCAAAGGAGCAGGTATCTCCAACACCAACAACCTCCACGGTGAAATTGCGGAAGAAGTCTATAATCTCCAGGGCCCGTGGGCGCAGGCAGAAGATGAGGATGAGAGGCGTGACAATGGGGCTCAGCAACTCCTCCAAGATGAACACCTAGAAGGGAGGGGACCGAGGTCACAAGACAGCAGCGGGGAGCCCAGCCCTCACCACCGAGCTACCAGTCAGTCTCTAGCAGGCCCTAACTCCAACTCCACTCACTGCCTTGTACTGGAAGAGCTGGGCAAACTCGTCCCGGGTCTGCGAGCGGTGGGCATTACCCTGCCAGTGGTCAGGCATGTAGTGGATGTGAGCGAGGATCACGCGGAGCAGCTGCT